AGATGACGAGCGCGTGGGCGATGCCAATCAGCACGGCGATCTGCGGAGGTGGAGGGCGGCGGGGTGGTGAGGAGCCGTGCGTGGTGGGCACGTGCTCCGTCCCACCTGAGGACCACCAGCCCACCAAACCCCGGCTCCCTTCACCAGAGCTCCCCTGGACGTGGCCTCAAACGCAACCCAGAGCTCTTTGGTTGAGCATGGGAATGCGGATCGTCCTGTGGTCGCCCCGGCACGTACCATCACCAGAAACAAGAGGAGTACGATGGTGCTGCGGACGTAGGAGTGCTGGTACTGCCGAGGTTCGTGCTGCAAGTTATTGATCAGCTCCATAGCCAGCTCCTCCTTCAAAAAAAAATTAAAAAAAAATCAAAAAATGGGAACGAAAGGCACCAGCAGGGCTGTGCCCAGGTGGTGGAAAGCCCAGGGGTGATTGTGTTAACGGACATCCGAGATGAGCACCCAATGCAACACGCAACAGCGTGGCCAGTCCTGACTGCGTTTAGCCCTTGTGTGCATGGGGAGGTGGCTAGCAAAGTGGAGAGGTGGCTAGAGCTAGCATCTGCTGGCTTGCCGGAGGGCTCCTCCTCCCAGGGCTGCCACATGTTGGCTTTGCTCTTTGTTTAAGTGTCTCCATTGGATGTTTACATCTACAGAGAGTGGAGCTGGACACGGGGGTCCCTGCGACCGAAGGCGTACCGCCCCGGAAAGGGAAGCGCTGAGCAGGAAAGCTGCCGTCCTCACCTCCTCCTCGTCCCACCGGAACAGGTCCCAGTCGGTGACCACGGTGGCTCTCTGCCTCTTCCACAGCTCCAGGAACACGGTGGCTGCAGGGGGAAGGAGAGCGCCGTGACACTCCGGAGATGAAGCCCTCCTGCCGGCCAGGGTGGGCAGCCCTGTCACCATCCGGCCACAGCAACTCGGCCCCGGATGGGTGGGCAGCTGCCTTGGCATCAGTGCCCAGGAGCACCCTGGATGTGCAGCGCTGAGGGTCCAGCCCCACGCGGGGACGGGGGTCTGCGGGTGAGTTTTTGCTGGGCTCTGGCCAGCTCCAGTGCCTGGAGGGGCTTTGGCACAGAGCAGAGTGAGCACCGGGGCTGTTCTGCTGCAGCGGGCACGTTCACATGGCACCAGCCAGCCACGTTATTCTGGGTTAATGGGAAATACACCTTTGGAGTGGAACAGCACTGCACCCCCGCACGGCTCCACCTCCCCAAATCTCATCACAACCGCCTGCTGTTAATTCGCACTGGCCTTCCCAAGCACGTCCCTGTGCCAACCAGCCCCTGGCGACATGCAAAGCCACATCCATGACCTGCCCCTGCCATGGGCACATGGGTGGGATGCTCAGCCTGTGCCCGCGGTGGTGATGGATTGCAATGGGATCACGTCGGCTCAGAGCCTGGGCACCTGCTGCGCACGTTCCGCAGTGGCTTTTGG